CATGTTCATCATCCAAAACGCCGTGAATAGACACAGACACAGTAAATCTTTTTCGCCTGCGCTGCCTGTCACACAACACATAAAATGTCTCCCTCAAAATGGGCTCTTTGTGTGGTCAAATGAATACGGCCTGAAGAATGAACCGCAGCGCTGTGACTCTTTTCCTGTTTCCCCTCTCTAAAAGCAGACTGGACTGAAATGAAGGCATTCCCCCAAAAAATCCCAAACCAAAAAAAAAAAACAGCAATGCATTTTTTGTTTAAATATGGTAAGATACCAGTGATTCCCCCTCAAGGTTTATTAAACCCCACAGGATCAAAATCTGCAAGGAAAATAATGTAACCAGACAATAATACCAAAGAGGTTATTTGGCTGCTGGTTGTATCGTGTTTCCTAAAATATGCCGTGTTGCAAAACTCATTTTTCTTACCATGCTGTACTTCAGTAAGATACAAACTGTCATGACAGAAATTATTATATCTCTGTATCACCTCATTCTGACCCTGGCCTCTCGGTTTCACACTTTTGTCATCCATCACGTACTGCTCTCATGTGTCGAGCTCTATCATGGGAAACATTTCACACTACAATAGCAGCAGCCGTACGGGTTGCCATTTGGATGCCTTGTTCTGTGTTTTTGTTGGCCATTAGAGCTGTTTTGGAGAGTTAGATAGGGAACGAGCTAAGGGGTCTTTTCCCCTCATTACAGTCCCTGCTGCAGGAAGAATAGGGTTAGCTCATCGATCACTATGCACTAGGGGGGCGGACAGACGCTGTGGGTGGGAAAGAGAACATAACAGAGAGATGTACCATTTTGTATGAAACTAATGTCTAGTATTTGCTTACATATTTGTATGTGAGCGAGTGGTGTAGATTAGGGGGATCAAATGAAACATGACAGGGGTATGTTGTCATCCAAAATGCTTGAGAATAGGGCAGGATAAGAAGATGTCTGCACTGGTTAGGGTCAAGGAGGAGTTCATTTGTATGGCGTGAAAGGTCTAAAGTTATTAAACATGCACACAAGCAGCGTGTTCATACACCCACGCCTGCACACAAGCTTGTATTAACACACTAACCTCAGACACAGAAAACACGCTCCTTTAGTGTGTTTGAACAAGTCGCTTGGCTCCATTTAGTTCCTTCAGAAAAGTCTTCTCAGCAAGAGCTAAAGCATAAAAGAGCAAAGCACACACACAGAGGCCTGATGGATTATGGCTCTCTCGGCCACAGAGCCTCTCAGCAGGGCTGGCAGACTGAACAGAGACCCCTTGCAGGCTAAGGGGTGAGCCAGAGGGACGAGTAAATACAAGGCTGATGGAAAAGGCCCCATTGTGGGACCGCCTGACCGGCAGTAGGGCCCAACCTGGAGGTGATGTGGAGCCAAGCAGATGACCTGACAGCGGGGAGCCTCCAAGATCATTAAAGGCTTCAGCGTGGCCATTTGATCAGTGTTGAAACCACCGACTGAAAACACCTGACACAGCAAGCTGCTGGGTTTCCCCCTCGTCTTGAAATCTATCTGTGTGGGTGGGAGAGGGCTGTTTTCATTTCTAAAGTTATGTTGTACTTACTGAAACATGGTTCGCAGGATAAAAGTATGAAGTACGTCTACATCTAACTCTCAAAACTAATGTGACATTTTAGACGTTATGAAACTTCATTAAATACAGAGAATCACTCATAAGAGTTGTTGGGGCCTCGGGGGCAGCAGAAACATGCTACAAAAACATTGTTGACATATTATCACCTTTTATGTTTCTGAGATTTTTATCAACATTAATTTACCGTCATTTTTATGATAAATGTATATTTTTTTAGCTGCTAAATGCTCGTCTATTGTGTGTTCACCAACTCGTAGCTAACGTTATCTCTCCTGAGCAGTAAACAGAGAGCGAACATTAACTAGCTAATATTAGCCAGCATTAGCTACTGAACATATCAGACCAAATAATGCTAAAATGTTTACGAAACGACTGGTGTATAGAATTAAGCATTGGTGCCTTATATTTCGTATGAATTGCAATTATTATATATTGAAAATATTTTCCTAATATTGAACTATCCCATAAATGTGTTATTATTGGTGGCAAACCTCAGCGGTGTTAAAAACAGATCACTCACCCAGCATGTTCCCACCACTGGACTTGACGACACGTGTACTGCCATTAACTGAACATAAATGTGGTCTGTTTCCCCCCCCTGACAAATCAAAACCACCTGCCCATAGGCCCTGAGAACTGGTCCTCTCTCCGGACCTCCTTGGAGAGAGAGAGAGAGAGAGAGAGGCTCTTGTTTGGACAAACGTCAGGGCCACCTCCGGGGCTCTTACTTGAAACGAAGAGTGGAGAAGGGAATCCTACCCTTCACATCGCCTCCTACAACCCCAGGCCCCGTCCCCTCCCTTTTGAGCAGGGCCCAATATTTTTTAATTACGTACAGGAAACTCCTGTTACAAAGGACACTTCTGCAGGGAGGCTGTGAGGAGTTCTGGGGTCACCCTCCTCTTCTCTCTCTCTCTCTCTCTCTCTCTCTCTCTCTCTCTCTCTCTCTCTCTCTCTCTCTCTCTCTCTCTCTCTCTCTCCGTCCTTTCTTACTAAGTGTGTGTGGGCTGTAGGTGTATCGACTAACAAACTGGATGGCATGCCACCCAGAGATTCAGATCACTGCTGACAGCCTGCCTTCCCAACACCAAGATGGCACCTGGTCTGTGAATGCAACTCCTTAACACTAACACCAACAAAAACTATAAAGTCATCCTCTCCACCTCACTGCAAACAAACCAGCTTTAATGGTACTTTTCCTTTCTTAACATTCACTAACTGTAACATAATACTTGTCAATATTGATTATATATTTTATATATCAAGACAAAGAAGTCGACATGTCAGTAAGCTTTCTTTCACGCTCAGCTTCTTAGCTCCGGTGGTCTCTAACTGACAGGAACTCAGGCACTATTTGTTATCTTTAGGCCCAATAAGTCCATCTGGTTTTGGTTTGGCTCCTCGAGATAGCCCCTGGAGATGTGGATGGAGGGGACTTAGGGGTGAGACGGGGTGGTGGAGGAGCAGTTTGAGGAGGCTTTTTCTCCTCTTTAATTGAATTTCTCACCATTCCAACCTGGGCCTCGGACCAGGGATAGAGCGAGAGCTTGCGTTCGGCTTCCAACCCTCAGGCTCCTGAGAAGCTTTGCAATAAAATTAAGCAAAAGGGGAAAAAATACTTGGAAGAAATGAGTATCACCTGTTTTGCCAAACGGCCTGCATGTTCGGAGTAATGGCTATTTACTTACTCAGACGCACTCTCCCTGTGAATGTAATGGAGGAATGTATGAACTTTCTCTGAACCATTCCTGACCTGAAACATTTTGTGTCCAATGAAATGGTGTGTGAAAATAAACAAATAGCGGACTAAACAGAGTGGCCACTCCTTGATAGGAATTCATGATGGAAAGCATTCAAAACTCATGTTTAGGGTGTTAATGTAATAAAAGTGATTTTTATACATACTGTACAACACCAGGAAAAATGTTTTCCAAAATAAAGCTTATGTCCGCAGCAAAGTTCCCCAAAGTGTTGATGGTTTCACACGTACAGTAGCAGGCCAACATTTATCTATAGCTAGCTGGATGTTTGTTTCTCCTTATAGCATATTTTTGTCCGTAATTTTATATTGAGAGTTAATTATGTACACAATTAATATACATTTCCGAATTTGTTGTGGTTACCTGACAAATGTTTCTGTGTTGTATTTTTGGTGTTGGCTTTGATGATCTGTGTCTTTAAATATTTCTAGGCGGTTTTTATTTTGCTCTTTTTGTCCACAAAATGTGATTGTGCTCCAGTCCATTTCAGGTTCTCATACAGTTGGACGACAGACTGTCTCTACCATCCATCTGTCTTGTCACTGTCTAGTGCACGCTTTATAAATCCAAACTGAATAAAAATGAAAATAACTCAAAACTGTGAATTATTTTGTCGGCCCTTACAATTTTATGGCCGTGACAGTCTTAAACTACTGGATGTGAAAGTGGTCAACTACTGGGTTTCAATGCTTTCTGGTGGTACAGTTTGCTTTTCTGGTATTTCTGTACAATTAAATACATGTTTCCCATGGTATTCCCCCATAAAGTCTGCACTTATCCTTGACTAACCCTGTGGGTTTTGTAAAATAAGACCTTTCTCTCTTTTAAAGGATAGAGCAGGCTGAAAGTTAAGGTATACTTTGTGGAAATGTAGCTTGAAATGTATACATGCTCCTTGAAAACTCACGTTTCCTAACTGTCATCCTTCATTTTTGGTGTCTCAACCCTTCCAATGACCTTTGGGAAAAAAATGAAAACTGCTGATAACCATTTTGTTTTACCCCAATACGTCTCAGTGAAAGCCCCGTTCCCCGACATCATCATTATCCCACACACTCAGTTTATTGTTTCAGGTGAGCAAACGGCATTGCACACACTGGCTCCCTCAGATGCTCTTTATAAGGCTCCTGGAATCAGCTGCACTTTCATCTTCAGTAGGAGTGTGTTTGTGTGTTTAAGGTTTAAATAGACCTGGGATGAGATTTAAAAAGTTCTCACCAAAAATAGTTAACTTTAGATATGAATACTGTTTCTAAAAGAGAGTGTTCCCAGAGTTTAAAGATGTTAAAACTAAACTTACCCAAGAAGGAACAAGAAATCCTGCTGGAAAATAGATTTTTAGACTGGTTTGTTTTAGAAAGAAAGTAACATCACCTAAAATGTAATCTTCTTCTAATCTACCATCAAAATGTTCTACTTTCATTCATAATATAACTTTAATCATGATACTGTAATCAAACCTAGAAATGACATGATGTTAACATGATTTTCCGTAAGCAACTGGATTTGAAGGAACTCTTGATTTTCATTTTGCCGCCTGAATAACCAAAAAATAATCTATTCCGTAAACTCAGTCGTATTGAATGCCATTGTACTGAACTACGAGCAACAAGAAAAAAAGAATACATAATCTGATTCAAGACTCAATTTCAGTTTATTGGATGTGTACACACTGAAATTGTTAACACTGCGTGAGGACAACTTATTTTACTAGCACTCTGTGTTCAACAACAATTAAAGTCACATTCATAATGAAGTTAAATTAAAACCACATAAATATAGGTCTAACAACATTGTATCATTGTAGGCAATGTTAGGTAGGTAGTCTATTACTTTCAGTTAGGGAACCTTCACAGAAGGCATTTTAGTTATATCTTTGTTTTATGTGAAAAAGCATCTACAGTAGCATGAATATGCAGCTAGAGTGAAAAAAAGTTTATAAAATATATTTCTATGTGTATCTAGTTTAAGTTTCAATGGATAAATATACATAGAAAACATGCACAAAATAATTAAATAATACAGTAGGTGATAAGACATAAACTGTGTTGGTTTGATGTAAAGTAAAACTGTTTTCTTTATTACACCCAGACAAAGTAGGATATGAGTACATCTGACCACACAAGCTTTTCCAATGGAACTATGTAGCTTCATGTATAATATATGTTTAAATAAATAACTTTATAAAGTGCACATACTACAGCTCATGACACCGATCGTACAAATCCCATTCTGTTCATACGTACAATACACATCCACCAATTTAATGGAGACCATCCCCTAAGATATTAGCACATTTGAATTTAAATCTACAGAGGAGCAATTATTTACAGCATGAATCATATATTGGATATTATTTGTGACTGAGAGGGGAGAAATGCAACTTATATTATTAGATTCAGCTAATACAACACATGATGTATCCTTGATACAAAAGCAGCGAACAATAACAGCACAGTGTATTTGGTTAGAGAACAATGAGAGTGCCTCACTGGGTGGATATTTCAAATGTAAAGTACATAGAGCACATTCAACTTTAAAGGCACAGATGCCACACACAATCAAGCTCTTATATGATATTACATGAAGAAATTAGGTTTTAAGATTATGACATGTTTTTTGAAACGCTATATACGATAAACCAAAACAGTTGAGGTGCCATTTGATGTTATAGGATATTTTCTGCAATCATAAATTGCACATTCTTTTTTTATAAAGGTACAGTCTAATGCCGGGTGATCCAGTTATAAATCCTAAATTCACAAATTGATTTTTCTGTGTATGCGTTTTTGAATATTGCTTACATTAGCACAGCATCATTGGATCACATGTAGGGTAGCCTGAAAATTAACGTGGACAGGAGGGTTGGTCCAAGTGGCCGCAGCTCAAGCCATCACATCACTGTCGCCCTAAAAAAGAAGCAAAATGTAAACGGGGTGACTCTCAGAAGGTCACAGTTATATAATCAGTAACAGGAAGGTATGCAGACTCTTGTTTCTTCCGCGCTACCGTGCACAACTTGAGACATGCTTCCCCCTTGTGGATGATATGAAAGCATTCCTGTGACCGGCAAATGTTTCAAATTATGATCTCTGAAGATTCAAGTTCTAAAAACTTTACATAATCCAAAAACGTTATAATATATAAGATAAACATTCAATCATGGGCTCACAAACAACCTAAAAACCAATGTAAGACTTACATGAAATGTAACTGATAAAAAATAGCGAAGAAAAAATACCAACCTCAGCTGTCATTCTGGGGCACACACGATGATCTCCGAGATTTGCACATAGTTTTCTGTGAAATAATTTAATAACAAAAAAATAAAAATAATATATTAGAAGAAATGTAAAGCACAGCGGCATATGATAAGGTTTCGCTATTCTTCAAACAGGATTTGATATCTTTAATGTTTTTAATATGATTGTCTAATTAAATTCAAAACATTTAAACTGATGATTCTCTATGACAACAAAAAAGTTCAACTATAAGCTTAAGAAAAGTGTGCACATTTTTTCGATAAAAGTTGAAACTTTTTATTGTTTCAATGTTATTTTGGGGGATACAGCTTTTTTTAAGATCAGCAACCTTGTGTTGTTTGTTTATGATAAAAGTAGGCGAGGATAGTGAATTTTACCTTTGTATGAAGGCGATGATGAAGGGCGGGGTCAGATAGCCAAGGATGTCTCAAGGCCTCAGATGCCCCTATCCTCCAACTGTAAACAAACACATGAGAAGTATACAGTATATTCTGTGAAAAATGACCATACATACACACACACACACTTGGAAGAGCAGTCAAACAGAATTAAAGATGTTTACCTTTTATTCACAATAAGGAGTTTAGAGATGAAGTCTTTGGCTTCTTCAGTTGTATCTACAAACTCTTGTTCGTCAAAGTTCCACTTGCAGGCCAAGATGTTGTTCAGAGTCTCGTTGTCATCGTCGCCAAGGAAGGGACAGAGACCGCTCAGACTACAAGAAAGAGACAGTCATTAGCATTAGTTTAAAAATGTGTGTGTTCCCGTGCGTGTGTGTGTTTACTCACAGCATGTAGGTAATGACCCCGAGGCTCCACATGTCTGTGTTGAACGACACAAAGTCGTAGTTGATGACTTCAGGAGCGAGAAACTCCGGGGTGCCAAAATTAACTCGCAGTTTTTCACGGGGTTTGTATCTAGGTGAAGAAAATTACATTTGTATTGTGTATGATTACAGCGGTCAAAGAAACTGTCAATCAAAATACAAGGCGAGGGTTTGTACTCACATCCTAGCAAGGCCAAAGTCGATGATTTTGACCTTATTTGTGATTCTGCTCACACACAGAATGTTTTCAGGCTGTAATTTAAAGTAGTTGATTAGACTAACTTCAAAAATGTATTAAGTCTGGTTTAAAAAATACTTCAATGACTAAAATGTATTACCTTTAAGTCCAAGTGTAGGATGTACATTTTGTGCATATGCTGCAGTCCTTCACAGATCTGCCTGATGAACAGTACAGCGTCCAGCTCCATCAAAGTGTAGTTTTCGTCGATTATCCTGTCGAACAGCTCCCCTCCACCAACACTAAGGGTAAAGACAAATGCATAAAACACCAATCAACAACACTAGAGCAATTCAAAACGTTTTATTTTAGCAGATGTATCAATCATGAATCAAGAACACATTTATAAAACAAATTTAATCAAAAATCAATTTGACACACAGTATTTAAAGAAGTTTAAAGTCTATTGAAGAAAAGTTATTGGTATTTGCTGGTTTAAAAAAAAGAAATAATAAACATTTGTGCGGAGAATATAAAAGAAGGAGCATACTATTCAAGTACAAGGATGATGTCATTCCTTGACTCATAAGCTGCATAGAGCTGGATCAGGCTGGCATGGTCCAGATTATTCATGACCTGGATCTCATTCTTCACCACCTCCTACCAAAAACACAGGCGCAGACAGACAGACAGACAAACAGATAAGGATGCAGACATACACACAAACGAGCGTGCACACACACATATGGTCATGATGAGATGTGTCAGCTGTTCTCTGCTATGAGACAATGCATCTTCTCTTCTAGGTCAAATATGTCTCACCTAGGTGAGAAGTATTCCCTATGCTTCTGTTCCAAGCGGCCTTGTAGTGCAGTAGTATGTACTGAAAGTTGCAACTAAGCCTGTTGCTTTTTATATCATGTTGTGTGGCTCTTGATGTAGTATTAAAATAATGCTAATTTATTATGATTGCACTGAACATTCGGTGCTTTACCTTTTCCTTGATGCTCCTGGCTTTGATGACCTTTGCTGCCAAAGTGAGACCAGAGGAGTTTTCAACACATTTGTGCACCTGGCCAAAACGACCCCTTTAAGACAGGGAGGGAGGAAATACAGTTTTAGAGTTGCATGGTAACAGTCAGATCCTAGCAGCCTAGTAACAGTTGTGAAACAGCACTGAGACCGTGTGTTTTATGTTTCCATGACAAATCAAAAACTGATCTTCTGTCAAACGGAGAGGTTTTAGTTCAGGGAAGAGCTTAATCTGTTATTTCATTCAATCTGAGCTGGCCAGTGTCTCCTCTTTGAAGACGTGGATTAACACTTAGTGATTAGATACCAGCTGGCACCAGGGATACTGTTTCACATACCACCCAGTCCTGAAGTAAAAATAACTGCCGTGACTCTGGAGTTATGAACCAGGGGAGAAGAGAAGAGAGGGGGAGGGTTACGCAATTAGGCTTTGTGGGAAACTCTTTCACACTGCCTTTGATCTGTAGTAGATCAAATGGTCGTCAATAGCTTTCATTTTTGGCATGACATGGAGATTTGAAAAGTATGGTTGCTCACCCGCCCAGGACCTCCTGCCAGTTGATGGTGTAGAAGTTGATGATCTGGTTGGGCTTGGCAGAAACAATGCGGTGATTAAAAGGGGCCGATGGAGGAAGACTGGTGTCTAAAGTAGGATGGGGGATCAGAGAAAATATATAATCTGTTTTAATAAGTTACAAGGAACGTGAGAACATAGGAGCTTCGTTGTTAATTAACTACAGTGAGGCTTTCGAACGGGTGTGGGCTGCTTTAATCAAGTTAGCACATTGTGCATTACCGCGCTATGATAAACGTTGTAGTCTAAATATTGCAGAGGAGTACCCACGCTTTAGCACAACACATCTTCTAGTCATAGTGCCAGACTCCTTCAAGGGTTTTATTCTGATACCTACTACTGTACTGTACCAACTTAGCATAGACCCTTCTTATATTAGGAAGGAGTCAAGCATTCAATGTATGATATATAACCAGAGCAAAGAACAATACTAGACTTCTGAGGCTGATATTGATATTGCAATTTAGTTGATTATAATATTTTCTAACTGTATTTAATTTTTCTAAACACTTACAACATACTCAGTAGGACATGTTACAATTAAAATAAGCAATCCAGCTCTAGTACTGTATGAGGTGATTTACGAAACAACTATAGACTTCTATACATGACCTTTATTATTTAAACTACTTTGCCCTGCCATACAGAAGATTTAAACGGCGCTTAAACTGAGTAGATTAAGTTTAGTTCCTCAAACGTTAAACTTCCCACCATGATTAGTGCCGGGGAACCCAGACTTACCAATGAAGTACCGCTCTACCTCTTCATCTTCATCTTCATCTTCATCATCTTCCTTTTCTTCATCCATTTCCTCTCTCGCTCTCTCGACCCTTTGTTTTAGGTTTAACTGGAAATCCATGCCATCTGTGCTGAAGACAGCCCAGCCCTCTTCCTCTTCATCCTCCAGCTTCCCCTCGGTGTGTTCCTCCACTATGAAGTGTTCCTTGGTCAGACACAACATGGTACCTGTGCTGACTTCTGATATCTGGTCCTGCTCAGCCTCTGGAGATGTGGAGGCATCTTTGTGCTCATCACTGCCGGGAAAAAGTATGTTTATTTCTGATGTTTTTTTTCTGTTGTTTTATTCAATACAGCTTTTTATATCTTATTGTACACATTGACCTATCCAATTCTCAAATCAAATGTTGAAATTAAATGATTAGATGATTATCTAAAAAGTTGCAGCCTTTTTATTTGTAGATTATTTATGGATTAAGTGATACATCTTTGCATCTCTTATGGGGTCAAATATACCTTGTGTTCTCTTTTTCATCCCCATTTGCCTCAGGCAGCTCTTGTTCATCAGATGCTTCCTCTTCCTTCTTTTCTTCTGGGAGCTTTTCTTCCTCTTTCACCACATCCTGCACATCCAGCTGTGGTTCTTCCTCCTCACTAACCGCCTTGTGTTTCTCACCCATATCTGTTTGGGAATCTTCACGCAGGAGGTCAACCAGGTTGCAAGCAGGCGAGTCAGGTTGTTGACTTTTAGGGGACACTCCGGCCTCCAGATCCAGATATGCAGTGGTAGTCTTGTGACCTGACTTCTGTGCATTCTCCCTGTTGAGTTTCTGCACCTCTTCGAAGAGCAGCACCTGCTTCTTAAGGGAGATATTTTCTACAAGAAGAAAGCCAAACAGGATCTGGATTTAATCTCTGCAAACCACAGTGAAATACTTCGAAAGGTTATGGAACATCATGAGGCTGCCCAATATTTCCCCTTGACCTTCTGAGCTTGGTTTCTGTGTCACGATGTAAATGCCACTCGGCCACAGCTGTACATGTAATAGAATATCACTCTAACACAATACTTAGATGAAACTCTAATGGAAGCGCGGAGTGAAGGTTCATATTTTTTATTACATTTTGCTGCTGCTGTGTCCCACTAAATAAATTCCGCAAAATAAATAAAAAAGTATTTGATCTAAGCACCTGTTGTGTCTGGAGGCTTCATCTTCTTCTGAGCCTTCAGGCCCTTAGGGCTCAAAGAGGGTTTATCTGTCCCATCTTTAGCTTTGTGGTCCTTCAACTGTGGAATACAAATACAAAAGTTAGGGGAAATCTGGACAATCAGCCATTTTGATATTTAAATGTATTATTTTTAAAGAAACTCAGTTAAAATGTTATACTAAAGGATATTTATTCATGTTTTGTTTTTTTTAGATGATTTTACTGATTCGGCAGAACTTAGCTTTATTACTCCTTATACCTTAACATTTAAATAAAATTAACTAGATCACATTAGTATTATGTACTGTCCCAAAGCTAAAATTAAAAAGATAGCAATGTTCTTTTTTCTTGTAATTCAAATGTAATGCATTGCTCCCTTCTTGTCAATTGATCAAAACACTAATATTAATATTATGGAGGCAGCCTTTTGAGAAAACATGAAACAAAAGGAGACCAACATGCAAAAGAACATATTAACATATTATAAATAAAAAAGATGGATTGCTGTATAAAGTGCATAAGCACAATAAACCTACTAAGTTTCCATATTTGCGAGAGGCGAGGTAACGCTTTGGTCCATGAAGCTTTATCTTGTGAGAAGTCTGTAGAGAACTGGGCTCACATGCAGGAATTATGTCTTGTTTCCCTTTATTGGCTTTATTAGAGGTAGGTTTCTAGTGAAAAGACAAGATGACATGGTTTAGTAGGGTTATTGGAATACACATGAAATGGAAGAAACATTAAACGTTAGGAATGACTGTCAATATGAGGTTGATATGATGACTTTTTGGTCACAATAAATGCACACAACATGAAAAATAACATTTATAACTCAATGAAATGACATTGACAGGTTGATTTGATGAAGTTAGGACCACATGAAAAACACAACACAAGAAATGAATCAAACAACAAATTAATGGCAAATGACGATACATTAAATAATGATAAAAGGCAAAATATAAGCAACATTACCTATGTATTTTATATCATGTCTCCATGAGCAGACTCTCTTGTATAATGGCATGCCTTTCATTATTCATAGCAAATGGATAGACGGCAGCAGGGCAGTGAATTTATAGCTTATCACTTGTCGCTCTCAGCGACGGAATGTATTGCTGACCCTGAGCGGAAAATATTACAAGCGATGGGCTGTTGTTCAAATTTCTCAGCTGAGGAAACTCACTAAACACTCTCCGATCAGGTTAGCATGGAAAAAGCTGCGAACCCAGGGGTGTCTCACATTTGTTCTCTGAATGCTGTTACAAGGTAAACATCATAGGGTATATTTCCAGTGCTGTGACAGCAGTGTTTTCTGGAATGTAAAACTCTGATAGAGAGACTGTAGGAAGGAGGCCATAGTAACAGCAGTTACTCGTAAGATATCTCACACCTATGGAGGTGGATGATGATGGAGCAACCATCTGACAAGGGCTCTGACGATCACAGAAATTCCCTGAAATGTGAGTCACATAAAAGCCATCAGATTGGTATCTGGTCATTAATCCTCAGAATATAATATGCCATTACATTTTCACAGAGACTTTGCATTGGCTTGATTTTTATGAGTAATATGTTGACGCTATGAGTAATGTATAACAAAAAAAATTCTGTCCTATTTAAAAAGAATACTATTTACATCCCGATAGCAATCAATTAATCAATGCTCTGTCAAAAAAAAGAAAAAAACTTGGTATATACAAGGGGTCAATAATGTACAAAAATATATATAAAATTACTGGACATAAATATACACTGTTTCCAAAACCCATGTTAATATATTCGTAGTAGACCAAATATGTAGATAGATATGTCACTACATGTACAGATGTCCATTTTCACTTTTCACTTGTCACTTTAACTCATTTCGTACTTCATAATGTAGATGACCAAATATGTATATATGCTGACAGTTATTTTATTCATCTCCTATTTCATAGTCTTTTATTATTATCATCATTATTTTTTTTTTTTAAATCTTGATTTTATTTTTGATTTTATTAATTTGTGTGAATCTGTGCTGTCCTGTTTTTTCACGCTTACCCTGTTGCTGCTTATACAACTGAATTTCCCCACTGGGATTAATAAAGGTCCATCTTACCTTATTTTATATGTTGTAATTTGTTCGTAATTCGGGCCACATTAAAGATACGCCAACCGACATGCCTTTCTAACAACCTGGCAGAACCAGCAGACACTAAATCAGGGCGCTCCTTCTGCATTACCAGAGTCTTCCACAAGCTGCTACGTAACTAGCTATGTTTGATGTTTACGTTCATTATCTTATGGTTAAGTTCATTATCTTATGGTTAAATTTATACCGATTATGAGAGAGTGGGTTTGGAGGGAGGCCTGAAAGGACAGGCTGTTATTGTTTCCATCTTGGCAACTTTCTGGCTAGATTTAGCGACTTTTTGCCAGTGCTGCTAGCTACTTTAATTGGGAAAGAGTTGTTAACAAAGGGTTGGGTTTTCGGTTGAATAATTGTTTATTTAATTACATTTTTGGATAAGATTTACACTCTAGCTGGTTCCACCAATATGACCTAACAAAGCTGTAATTACTACAAATATGAATTCAAAAACCTGACTGCATCGTGAACTATTTCATAAATATTTGAAGTATGTGCTAACTTGACGTCACAGCCACTCAGGTGAGTTTGCTCTTTGCTTGCAGGTCATAGAGGAAAGAGATATGACTCTAATGTATGAACCTACGCAAGTGATAGGAATGTTTTGATAAGTTGCTTTAGAGTGTCTTTAAGTGCAGCTCATGCTGTTGATGCCAAGCAGCACTTAGTGAACTTTATATAGGGTCATGATTGACCAACATGTCAACATGTAAAATAAAGATTACATCTGAAGTTTGGGGATGACTTCAGTGTCACAGTAATTGAAACGGTTGTATAATTCTTCTAATCCACAAAAAAAGCCAAAAACTTTAAGTTAGGCACCTACATTTTAACAAACCAGTTCAAAGCACAGGGAAGCAACAGACACCAAGCTGACAATATATTTAGATTAGTACATGTTTACTTTTTTACTTTTCTGAACATACCGACAAATCCTGCAACACTGCATGCATTGGTAAATACAGACATTTAATGAAAGCTCTAAATCAAAGGGGCTGGACTCCCAATTAAATCATATGATGAGCTTTATTGAAGCTCAGGAAGTTAGGTCATTTTCCAAGAGTCCCATGGCATTGCATTTCGGCAATACCCACTGTTAACCTACTCGAAACTGGTGGTGTAAAAAAGTTGTGTGTAAAATAATGTCCTTACTGGCTATCAGCCTTGATTTGGACACAATCAAGACCAACAGTGTTCGATACAAAAACATGTGCCTTGTTTAAGTAAGTCAATAAGAGAAGTGAAAAAGGGAGAAAGACTGACTCATCACAATTTGTTGACACCTGACTCCTAGTGAGTTGAGGGGGTTAAAGCCCTTTTTGACGACAAATACTGCAGCCCTGATCCAAAAACAGCATTTCCAATGGCCACTCACATTTCACCCCTGGCCTCACCTCTCGTGCCCTGCCAGGGGGTCCCAGAGTGAGCCTCACGCCAAGGAGGCCATGTTGTACCGAGAATGGGTAGAGATCCAACAAGTATAAATGTGAGTTAAATTGGGGCTTCACAGAAACTAAGAGGGACATATTTATTACCCAGGAGCTTAAATAACACTATAAAATTGGCGTTCGTAATGACTTTAACTTCAATCAGCAGTTGGCAAGTGTCAACATGTAAATTCTTAGACATTACCTTTTTAAACCAGCCCCATTATATGAGGTATAACACACAAACCAAATCACATTCATAGAATAGGCTGCTATGATCATTTTCACATGTTCTGCCAAGAACCATGAACCAAAACATCTTTATGAGATCTAAGAAATCAATAAGTCAGCAAGAAAAATAAATAGCATCCCTTGAAACAAACCGAGATGTACTGGATGACGATATCCAGCAATCCAAACCAAAACATTTATATTTAAAATTGACAAATTATCAAACCTTAATTCATTGAAACAATTCTGTAATTCTTTCTTCGAAACATAACTTTTTCAAAACCACCATAATGCAGCATTTGTTCACATTTTCTAAAAGGTACACGCAAAATATCCTTAGTCTCACCTGGTCAAGCTTCTTGTTTATTGTGTCAGATGATTTCCTTTTATTGGCTTGCTTGGCTTTGTCTTTGGATTTGGAGCCCTTCCGAGTTGCAGGGCCTTTGAACATCAGCTTCATAACCCTAGAACTCTTCACCGTCTCCCCAATAAAGCTGATCACTTGCTGCATGTTGAGGACCAGCTTTTCCATTCCTTCAAGCTTGTTAGCCTGCAGCTCGGACCGCTGGTTCACCACCGACATTATGGTGCTCATCTCCTGGCATATCTCCCTAACTTCTCGACCCATGATCTGCGTCTGATTCATCATCTTTGGTGGGATATGGATCTCCTCCTGGTCAACTTTCAGATTCTCCATATCCTTTTCAATGCCGTCTATGTCCTGAGACATCCCATCTAGCCGGTTGAGGACCTTTTCTTGAATGTTGATGAGCTTGTCCATTTTGCTGCTAAGTGACTCAATCCGGTTCTGGATGAGGTCAAAGCTGCCGTTGCCATCTCCTACTGTGTTCATTACCAAGGAACTCATGGCTTGCGGTGATTTAGAAATCACGTTAGGACACCAACTTGAGACAAAAATAGGACCAATATAGTCCTTGAAACAGACGAAAATACTTTTTCAAAAATCGTAGCCAGCTCTGCCCTTCAGTGCTCCCCGTTGGTGTGCACACTTGATAAATAAATAAAAGTGGAACAGAAGTGATTCAAGGTTTTTTAAATCACCAATCCCAACACCATTTATCTCACACTTTGTCCCTGGTGCCTGCTTCCCTCCACACAAGAAGTGGTATTAAGAATGGAGTGAGCCGGTGTCCCTAAATGTAAATGGACAGCCTACGTCAGCAGGGGTCAAGTGTTTGGGGTGGGGGCTTGGCAAAGCTTGGTCTATGAGACATTTGAGAGCCTTTAAGTGTTAAGCCCACCACCGTCACTCCCCTGCTAGGTGTCAAAATGCTCACTGACACAGAACTTTTTCACTGTTTAAGACACATGCTCAGAATTGTTTTACATTTGATTTCAAATGGCAATGGCATTAACATTACCTCATAGTGACTGTTGGTCTGTCAATCTTGAGTGAACTTCACAGGTGTAAAACAAAGGAGAAGAGGATCATAGGTATTAGTGGGGGGAGTTCAGAGTAAAATAAGAGATTTCATTGTTTATTGTAGATTTTAAATAAAGTTCATGGCATTGAAAAGTCTGTAATGGTGCTGGTTAGTTGGTACAGCTGTAAGTGAGTCTGCAACGTGCTGCAATGCAAATACCCTCCTTATCTCATGAATGCCTGTAACTTGCACTCAGTGTTCGGGGAAACGTGAAGAAGCATGTGGCTTCTGGCTAAGGGGAACTACAGTAAGATGTTTAAAGCCCTTCGACTGAAAGAAGAGATGGGTGAACCAAATGATTTATACGAAGCCTACTCACTGACAAAACATCCACCAATAACCTCCCTTAAGAGAGGAAGGGATCCATTTTAACTTAGCCCTTGTAATATGACCGTAAACCATGTTCCCTATAAATCAAAATATGTATGATTCATTTGAACAACAACATGTGTTCATGTCAAAACACAGGGTATATACAGAAATGAAACACTTAAGCAAACACTGAACAACATGCTAGTCACAATTATTAAAAAGTATGGTTGGCTACTCAAACTATTTCCTGACAATTTTGTCAAACTTATTGGACTTATCTCTGTAAATGTATAGCTGATAACGTTTAGATGGAATCCAGCCACCATGACATACTTTGACCAGAGGGGTGCAGACAGCAAACTGAGCCACACTAACCCCAGCCAAACCCCCCCCCCCCTCACTAAAAAGTGTGGGGGTTATGAACTTAGCAGATTAAATAGAGACCAGTGAGGTAAGGTGCGGAAAAAGAGGTTTGCCTGTCAGTTTGAGTGTATTGACAAGTCACCGCACCAGCTAGCAAATGGCTCTCTTACATTTAAGATGGCTACAGCGGAAAAAACAAATGGCAGAAACAGATGGGACTAAAATCATGCCTCAATCAATCAGAGAGAGACAGAGACGCTCACACCTGTCCTTGCGTGCCAACAGATGACAGACAACGTAGGTCATTTACAGCATGTTGGGTCAGCTTCTTATGCTAGGGTGTGCATGGATCAGACATGACGAATGTAAAATAGATTTTACTCTACAAGAAAAAGGTACATGTATTCTGCCACACAGCATCGTTATTATGCTGCACGTTACAGGTTAGCACGCATGAATATCTTTCATTGCTTAGAGGTAGCGGGTACTTAAAGGTTATTAAACCCTGCAGGGGATATAAACAGACTCCTTGGCCTCTGAGACCAATACATAAAGTAAATATCGTATTTATATCACTTACACTTTACAGTGAAACCAAGGCCAAAGAAAGTAACAGCATTGTGAGTGGTGCTTAAAGTTCTCTCTCACGCTTTTTGCCAAGCACAAGTATTTGTACACACTGACTGAGCACACAGGTGAGAAATCACTGCCCTGTCAACTGCTGCATGATTAAAATGTTGTTTAGTTAATGTGACAACATTCTTGGGATGTTTGGAGCCATTGCTGAATGCATGAATGTTCAAAAAGCATTTATAATAATAAAAAACAACTTCATGTTTGTGTGTTTCCAGTTTGACCTTGCAGTTTAATCATCTAATGACTAACAGACGTCAAGAGTGGAAAACATGTAAAAGTAAAATGATATGCAGCAGAGGGCTTAGCTCCTTTAAATAGTAAAACTCTAACATGCATCCTGTGTTATGAAACCTGTATCCATCCATTACAGTGTCATATATCTTCTAGACTAGAGCTAGCTGATTATTTTGGTTGTCTATTAATCTTTGTATTATTTACTTGATAAATAGTTTAGTTTATATAGAGTAATGTTACAAAAATCGAAACAATTTCCAAGAGCCCAGGCTGACAACTTAATGAATCTTATTGTTGTCTGAATAACCCCAAAATTAAAAAAAAACATTATATATATATAATATACTGTATATATATATATAAATAATTACATTACAGAATAAAGCCCCAGTCCGTTATTAAAAAAGCTGTTTGCAGCTGTAATACATTGTTGATTGTTATAGGTCACAATAACATGATTATATTTTTCAAAATAAATGAAGGCAGACATTTTATCGACCAAATAAAGTAGTTGGGGCAGATTATATTGACTTTAAATAAACTCCTGTTAATCAAAAGGAGAAAAATCCACGTATAAATGTAGAACTAGTCAGTACTTGTGAGGGGTTATTCTGTCAGGTTAAATAATGTGACCTGCATGGCCCCCTCTAATAGGCTATTTGTTTGGCAGCGGCACAAGGTGAACAGTTAAAAATGGAGCACCACCTCTTGAAGAGAACACAATGTACTAAAACATGGGGGCTGTGCTCTGTGGCTAATGTCCAGTCACCTCACAAGTCTCCATTCACACAACACAGTGTGCCAGCTTGGCTATACTTTCTCTCGGAAACTTGTTGGCTTAAATGTGTGTGGCAGCCGTGAAACTCAAGTCCATGTGCTAATGTCTAAGACGTCTACTCTGCTCCTTCCCTCTCATGTTTTACTTTGGCATGTAAACACATTCTGCTGCTGCACTTTGACATACTTTTTTTGGATTTGTTATACAAGTTATAGGCGTAAATCCCCACAGGCACATGTCTGTTTGTCTTGTGAAATGTGATAGATCTATAGAGAATGATAGAGACATTTTATCGAATCCAAGCTCAAGTATCCGAATAATGAGAAATGTCATGGTATATGCACTGATGCCTTTTATTGGACACGCTCGGAAAAACTAAATTATGTGAAACTGTATGTGCCTGGTCCAATTACTCAGTAACTCAGCTTTTATTTTGAACAGCAGGTGGCATTGTTCATCCATGTAAAGCATGAACAGTGAGCTTGCAGGGCTCAAACGTCATATTTAAGATGAAACTCCACCCTGTATCCAACATTTTCAGTTTGCACAACACCCAACTCCATAGATTTAAAAATAGTGGGGAAAAGGTCTATAGAAACCACTCCTGAAACATGATACACGTGTCTGCTCATGAGTTTAAGGATTGTGCATGAGCATTGTGACAGTGATAGTGTTTTTATGCATACTAGCATACATCTGAATAGTAGAGAAGATTAATATGAGGTAGACGTGGTACTAACTTTTGAGGAATTATAGATGCAAATCACGATTATCTTTATTATTTCCGAAAACAGTAAAAATGTCAAAAGCCAAAGATATCATTTTTAAATTGCAGTTTTTTCTAACCAAGGCTGAAAACGCATAAGTACTCACTCTCTAACCTCAAAGAAGTGTGAATATTCGCCATTGTTCACATAGTATTCCTAATTGTATCCTTATTAATGAATCAACCAATTTGTTCAGGTGTAGTCATTTTAAGTAGGGATGACACACTCATGCTACTAAGCACTGCTCAGTGTCATATCAGAAAGAGCTCCTCTCTTACTTTTATTTATATTTAATTTGAGTCAAGTGCAGTAACTTTACTCGAGGAAGATAATCACAGAAGCACTATTATTATCATAGTAGAAATGTAAGGAGAGCTTTACATCGAGGATGTCATAAAGCTTATTGACAGAATGCAAAGAAAGCTTAGTCACATACTGATGGGTGCACACCTTTAAATGTCAGTGTGGATCTCCTAAATGCCAAAAGAGGAATGGAAACGAGAGAGGGTGAGAAGGCTCCAGCTTTTCTCTGACATGTACCATCACGACATTAAGAAGCAGTATACATGTGTTTGTGCTTTTAGAAGCGTGATGTATATTCATACTTTGGCAGAAGCCTCTCAGCATTAAAAGGCATTATATAATATAAAACAGGGAAAGTGAGACTGAGCCATATCTAATGGTTTTGAGAGAAACAAATAACAGGATTATGAAATGAAAACAGATAAGCTAAAATCAATATCAGACATCCTAGTGAGCATCAGATATTAAAGGGTAAGAACATGCTAAATATTAATCAGCAGAAAAGCTCTCATGCAATGACACATTTGTACTACATCATAGAAGGAGTGTGACAATCACTAGATGGCAGCAAAAGCAGGATTTCAGGCCTGTGTTTCCTCACTGAATCACAGCAGTGTTGAAGTTAAGATCCACCGCTAGGGCTCACTCTAGCTTCAAAGCAGATTCTCCGAACGCTGCACTCATAAACTCATAAACACCACCAACTCCTTATGTCATGTTATATCCCTCCTGCTGCTGTATGTCACATAGCATAACACGCATGCATCATATTTACTAGTTTCACCTTTCACTCAGATACTGAGCACCACATTACTGCTGGAAAGATTACCCACCATATGTTGAGCTAACTAATTAAATTAAATGTGACATTTAGCTGGAGGATAGTGAGGAAAAGTGAGTGCAAAAGTCAGCAATTAGTTGACACAAATAAAATGTACTTTAAAGTCAACACAAGCATGGCATGATATAAGTAGACAAGGAATACATAATATACATGTCAATTATATAAAAATGTCAATACAACACAATCTGTAAATAGACCTAATTAGTCACATACATGTACTAATATTCAGAGCTATTAAAATAAACAGCATACCGTAGCTCAATGACATTTACAAAGCATGCATCTGCAGTGCTTGTCTGTCTGACATTATATCAATTATAGGACCATTATAAAAGATATCAGTCCCAAAGTGTCTGAGATTTTACTCTGCGTGAAATGTGATGCTACAACACAGCAGACCCATGCCTCTGCTGTCTGCTTATGTTTAATAGAACTTGTGAGATGGAAACTGCCCACAGAATTCAAAGTCTTGTCAAGCATCAGTGATAAATAATTGACTTAATGCCAACCTTGCATCATTGCCTCTACTAAAAAATAACAACCAAGATTAATAAAAAGTGAAAAGAAGGACACGTTTGCCTCTGGTGTCAATTTTTTAAACGTGATGTTGAGGCCTAACAATTCACGATTAAATTATGCTGTCAATCTTTGCCTTTAATATATATAATTCAGTACTTATTATTGTCAGTCACATTAAATAACTGTTACTCAATGATTTTACAATGATCTTGATGTTTGTTATCAAACTGTTTTCGAAATGACTTTTTCTCCAGCCTAGGACATTCCTACGAAGACAGTGAGATTATCAAGTCAGGGGGGTAATTCAATGATGATGGTGCAGCTGCTGCCATCCCCTCTGAAGACAGTCCAAAACATGTTGACAGGATCTATAAGATTAGAAACTGGCCAAGGCATTCTCTTTAAAGGCCATCAGGAAGCAATTAAACAACACTTTTAGTTGTTTAAGAGGATAAACAAAATGACAATCAATTATTAGATTTCTACAGTAAACACTATATTCATGTTGGTCAGATGCTTACAATGTAAAAATTGCTTTTGTTTACATTGTAAGCATCTGGCCAAATTCATTTTTTTCCTCCAACTTTTTAAGCATCATAAACACTATAAAGCTTGCATCCTCCAGGAAACATAGAAAAGTTGTGACTCAACTGAGCTTTTGTTCTGCCTTCACTCAGTCGGTATATAAGAGGGTTTTCAAAGAAAACGGATACAATACAAATTTACTTTCCTCGGAATCGTCAACCACAACACTGACAATATGAATTCTTGCTCCATAAACCATACAATATGAAAGTAAAAATGTAAAGTATTGGTTGCCCAACTAAATCTACAACTACCATTGCCGCAAGAGTTAATGTGCTAGTTATGTTCCTTTAAGAAAGCAAAACGGTATCAGCATTCCTCAGCTAGTTTGAAAGCTTTATTGAGCAAGTGAAAGAGCCTTGTATATACCTGAATGGCAGGTGGAGCGGATGCTCTGTGTCTCCTCCTGTAGCAGAGTAAACCGCACAGCCTGCTCCAGACGTAGGAGGCCAACAGACACATGCTATTGAATAGCCAAATGTCCCAGCTTGTGACAAAGCTCTCCATGGCTTTAACTTCACTCTTCATCCTTCTTCTATAACCTTGCTTTTCCTATCTTTAACTACAAAGGACCTCTTGGAGCTTAGGGAGAAGCGTCTCAAGTGGAGAGTAAAGAAGAGATGACAGCTCCTTCTCTTCGTATGGACCGCCCAGACATTAATGCTACGCTAAACCCAACAGCCTCTGTTAATTCAGTCAACACCCCTCTCCCATCAGCACTTAGAGCCAGAGGACGGGCAGTTTGTCCCTGTGACAAAAGAGTGACAGGTGCCAGCAAAGAGACAAGCTCACCCAGACACCCTCACCCTCTCACTTCATAATTCTTCCATCTTACAAAACAGGCCATTTATTTTCCTCTCAGATACAAACAAACTATAAAACATAGTCTAACCAAAGCTAAATTAATCTTCAACACGGTACTGACATTAAAACGTGTGAGAATTGGGGATATAGAGTCCCTGTCAACACACACACTTGACTGTGGTGTAAATAAATAGCCTGTGCTATTGGATTGCATTCCAAATGTCACATAGAGATCGCATGGGGCTGCACTCACAGTCTCTACTGGAGGAAATGTACATGAAATATGTCAACAATATTAAATGCTACTTCAAATTGAAAATTAAGGCATATCTTTTTTTATAAATTAGGTATCTATGAGGACATATAAACTCAACAATATAATCTGTATTGTGCAACAACACACTAAAATGCATGATTTAGAGATGACAGTAGCCAATAACAGCTATGTAAGGTATTCCTGGAAACACTACCCGGCCTCATCTAACTTCACCTCCAGCTCTGCCAAATACAATAATGAGGTCATTTCTGGATGATTGCTGTGCCCTCGCTGCTCTAATTATTCCCTTGGCTGCCATGGAGAAAATAAATGGTCTTTGATTACTCACAATGTCTCAGTTTGCTTTATAGTAGACTACTTAAGTTACAACTGCAGCATGTGGTTAGTTGAATCCTAGGCTACATGTTTTACACTATTTTTGGCAGTCTTTGGTTATCACATTATTTGGCCAATTACCCTGGGCACCAGGGAAATATTCAAAACTATCAAATGCCATTTATCACTGTAATTTGCTGAGTAGGCTTTTAACTTTGTGGTGTCATATTTAGCCACTTTGATAAATGTGTTGTTGGTTGTTTTTGAATGTTTCAGGAAAACCTTATTTGAACATGATTTATTTATAATAAATGTAATCATTGTATTACTATTAAGAGGACTTAAGAGAGCAGCAAGATTTTTGTTTCTGCCCTCAAATTAAGTAGATTACAAAAAATGTCCCACAGTAGTGTTAATGTATAAATGTTCGTAATATTATCGCCCTCTGCTGGTATTACTGCATACTCAAAAGGCTGATTTGAAAGAACTAAATATATCACAATTTCTGGACATATCCTAAGTATCTTTCATTTGGAAATTATGAGGTGCATGGATACCTTTGGTTCAAGTTTCATCTCCCAGAAGCGATGGATTGTTTTTCACCTTCTCTAAGTTGGGGAAGAAGGCCAGCTCGGTCATGTTTCGGCTGTTGGCACACTGATGAACTGACTACAGCTTGGCCATACTCCCTGAGGGGGACACTTGGCAGCCAGCCCTCTCCTTCTGAGCTCTCTATCTGTCTTCGTGACCTGGTCGACCTCTCTCACGTGTTTCTGTTGGCTGTCTTTTATCTGAGCAGAGGAGGCAAGAAATAAAGTAAAAGGCATGAGCAGCATAGGTTTTTCTTTTCAATTTTAAACGTTTTCTTTTTACTTACCTTCAATTACTAAAATACTTAAAGTACCACAATAGAATACATATGTAGACTTAATAGTATGGAAAACCTTAAGTTATTGCAGAAAGTTAAGTTAACAGAGTTTTGACCATATCCAATATGTAATGTAATGTTGTTTAATTTTATGTATTGTGATTTAATTTAATAAAGTAAATGTAATGTAAATCATAAGTGGGCATTGAAACAATTCAGAGATGGTGGGGGCTGATTTCTATGCCTCAAAACTGACACAATTGAAATTACATTTGTACACAAAGCCCTCTTCAGGATGAGCATCGTGATATTATGAGAATCCATATTCGGGACCTTATCATTTCTATCACAACACCCATTATCAAATTTTCAATTTAAAGTTAGCACACACCAGATGGTACACGGTAAGCGTGGAGCTTTGAGACACAGTGGAGAGTTGCTCACTTTTCCCAAATGGTATGGTACCTGATTTGGCCATTTTAATCGATTAATTACCTTATCTTATGCAGGAAGTCGAAGGTGCGTTCATGTGCTATAGCCTGTAGGAAAATACAAGTATACAGCGAAAAAAGAAAGTTAGAGTCACGTCTAATGTGCAGTTTTGCAAGACTGACCATTCCAACGCTTAAATAAAAACAAATCAATTCCAATTTCACAATGTCCATATGTATACTCAGCAAAGCTTGTGTCTGGAATATAAACTAGACAGAAATCTCCTGATGTCCGACCGTCCCATCAGAACGTGAATGCACACAGACGTAAATAAGGAAATGAAAATAAGATTAGTCGACTTACATTAACATTGCCTCTGACTAAACGTTAGAATCAGATAGTATAAACGGGAATACATGTTTGTATTTAAAGTTAAGGCAAAAACAACTTTGCTACGTTAAGATTGGTGTTTGGTCACGTGATTGGGGTCAAAAGTTTCGCGGGAAACAACATGGCGAGCGAGATGTCATCTCCTACCTTGGACGCTGTGCAATGTCCCGTCTGTTTGATAGACTTTACGCCTGGCACCATTAACCGACATCTCGACGTGTGTCTGCTGAAAAGCGTTGCTGACAGCAGTCCGTCGACAACAGAAGAAAGCGAGCCTCCTTTGAAGAAATATCGCATTAATGCCACTGCCGAGGCTGAGCCACCCAGCACCACCGCGTCCAGCCCTTCCTCCGTGGCTGGTGCGGCTTCATCTGTGTTTTCTTTGTTTCAGACCAACAAGAGTAAACGTTTAGCCCCAGGTGAACGCAACGGGTTTTTATCAAGTAAACAATCTCCTGTCAACAAGGGGGTTAAACGTAATTTGCTCGCCGAGGCAGAACCAGGACCAGCAGCAGGTACAGAGGATATGAAGTCCCCTGGATTAAACGGTCATGCTTTGAAGACATCCACTGATTTATCACCACGGACACTGCTGACGAGTAACAAGCCTCTGGCAGAGATACTGAGACCAAACACACTGGAGGAATACTTTGGTCAGAGTAAAGTTGTGGGACAGCAAACACTCCTCCGCTCACTGCTGGACTCCCAGGACATCCCATCCCTGATCCTCTGGGGACCCCCGGGGTGTGGAAAGGTGGGCCTCGTCACCTGACCTGTATTTCCATTCTGTTATGCATGACTTTAGCTTTCTCCCAAGCTTCAAAACAAAGTGACCATGTTACAATTATTTAAATACATCTACCCTTTTCCCTTCTAACAAAATAACATACAATCAACAATCTATACACAACGGTTTTTAATTTCAACAGTTTAAATGCAAAACACAACATGGCATGAAAAGTAAATTCTAAGAGCACTTCAGGTTTAACACTTCTTAATCATTGTTATAAGCTCAGCTCTATACTAGACTAAAACCTATCTATAAACTGTCAAAGATGATGCTTATAGCTGTATTTCTTTTTTTATATCAAGGAAAGGTCATAATGATCATCATATCAGATTTTATCTCTATGTAAATATGGAACAGTTAGCAAAGTAGCTGAGCTTCATCTGTAGGCTCATGGACAGGTCATTATGAACTGAAGGCCTAATATATATTACCGAAAAACTATACTTCAAGAAACACTACAGTGCATCAAGCTGTTATGTGTTACAATATGATACAATACATCAATTATATGTGCGAAAATGTGTGCCTATTACAGTTTTCCATAGACAATAGGTCAATTGTAAATGATTATGGTCCATCCAGCAGCAACATTTGAAATGTAAATATAATTATATATGAAAAGAGGGAAACCGGTGAGTGTTTGACATTATGTCTTGATAAACCATCTCAATGTTACTTGATAACTTGAATATTAAGGATTTCAGATTTTTTGCAATCAACTAATCAATATTATCTAACATTAGCATTAGATTGCATGCTACAGCCAGTGCCAATAATAGTAGAGAGAGATCCTTTACAGCATGTTGAAAAAGTGATTCTGTCTCTGGCTGCTAGGTTGGTGCAGTACTTGCAAGTGTTACTTGTCAAACCTAAATAGTATACAGCATGTAATGAGTGAGGTATGCTCAGCTATATTTCTACACAGCAGCTTCCCATTCTTAGACGTCGTCAACATGCTTCAGTAAGACTTTACAGTCACAGCTCTTTGGTTTCAAAATTGGAAGGTTATTTTTGGAGGTTCTTATTAGCATGTACAGTAAAGACAAAATATTTTCGAGGCCCTAAAATAAAGGTGCATTGTAGGTCCTGGAATATGTGCTCTAAAGATGCCGTACAGGTGCTTATCATTGATTCCATTTATATTGATTAAAAAAAGGGCACATCATGTGTTCAAATCAAATGACTTTGTATGTAATGTGTTGTGTTTCAGACAACTCTGGCTCACATCATTGCCAGCAGCAGTAAAAAGAAGGGAACAGCTCGTTTTGTCTCTCTGTCCGCCACCAGCACGTCCACCAATGAAGTGCGAGAGGTGATCAAGCAGGCGCAGAATGAGCTCCGGCTGTGCAAGAGGAGGACCATACTGTTCATCGATGAGATTCATCGCTTTAACAAATCACAACAGGTGGAGTATTAAACCAAATGTTATCTGATCCATGTTACGATTAGAAGTAGCCACTTTAAAATCCACCCTGTGTTGGTATTTGCTCTTCAGTTTCTGTATGAAATAGGTAGAACATAATGTAAATCATGAATAGCATTTATTTCATGATTTACATTGTCATTTATTAACAGCATTTTAAAATAGGTTTGGTTTAGTTCGGAGAGTTTTCAGTTAAATTGCCACTGATGACTGTATTTATGTAACCTTTGTTAAGACGGGTCATCTCATTGAGACACAGGCTGTTTATCAAAAAAGCCCTAATAGAAAGCAATCTTCAGATTTAATTTCTCTATGTCAGCTACCAAGGAGGCTCAGCTAATAGTAGTTTAAAGGTCCCATGTCATGGCCATTTCTACTGATCATATTTCCATTGTTGAGGTATACTAGAATAGATTTAAATTGTGCAATTTTCAAAATCACATTGGTTTCTCATACAGCATCTCTGTATAGTATGTGTATTCACTCTCTGTCCTAAACGGCTTGTTGTAGCTCCAATAGCTCCTGCCCCCCCCTCCCTGTGAGCTCAGTGTGCTCTGATTGGTCGGGACGTTGCGAGGCTCGTTGCGAGGCTCGTTGCTGCTCGCCGCTGCTGCAAGGAGCCGACAGTGTTCCGGGTCGGCGATACAGCGAGAAACGGAGAGAACAAGCGAAACTCATCCTGAGCACACACAAACACTCACAGCCGAAGTAAAAAAATTAAGTGTGGCTTGATATTGAGTAAGAAAAAGGTTTATAACGCGGTGAGAATGGGTCTGCAGAGAGCATTTCTCCGTGATCCCAACTCGTCTATTACCAACCAGGGAGCTCTATGTAAGTCAATGGGGACTCCCTGTTAGTTAGCCAAGGGATCCTGGTGTGTGAGGTGCTCCGCGGATTGGTCCATTTGGGCCNGGACAGCACATATGTTTAAAAAGCAGAAGTAAAAAAAAGGAAACTCAACTGTGAAACCCGCACATGAAAAAGCATTTGAGCTCCATACTGTTTAAGAAATAATCATTTCTTAAACAGTATGGAGCTCAAATGCTTTTTCATGTGCGGGTTTCACAGTTGAGTTTCCTTTTTTTTACTTCTGCTTTTTAAACATATGTGCTGTCCAGTACAGTGGTTACTCTGAGTGTTGCGAGGCTTGCTAATGTGGACAAAGATTATGTCCAAAACATGTCAGGCATTGTTTCTGATAGCAACTTTCTGTGGGTCCACCATCCGAAATTACGTAATATCGGCAGCAAATCTGTATCCGCTCGTTGTACCCCCGTTTTTAAAAAGATTTGGGTACGGAGGAAAAGAGAAAGGGTTTTATTTTCTGACGCTGCGTGAGTTCCCCGACACACCGGGGACACATATGTGTAAAAGACATAAAAAAGTGCATTTTGCATGATAGGTCCCTGTTAAGCCCGAGAGACCCCGGTAACGGGCCCTCCTGCAACATCTTGCAGGAAACAGTGTCTGGGGGCATGTTCATTTAATAAACTATGAATGTTTTATATCCATGTAACGGTTAGAAACTCATCTAACTGATCATTTTAATTTTTTTTTCAAAAAAACCCCCACAATGCTAACGCTGAGCCTCTGTTAGCAACGAGCGGAAATGCTAACGGATGGACTGCACCGAAATTCACTCACAAACCTTACTTATTTATCCTTTGCTGTATCCAACCCATCGTTAACAGTCGTGACGTGACACAGAATCGAGG